TCGCATTTTGTCCGGAAGGTGATAAAACAATACATTTTCGGTTGTTCGTCACTCATACGGTGATATTTGAAAGCGTTGCTTTACTCAGTAAAGTAACGCATCAGTAAAGAAAATGTGCCACCCCTAGGCAACGCACGATCTTACCGTTACTTATCGTTTAGAAATCCAGCTAACAACCACGGAAACGACAGTCTCAACGACAAACGTCCCAATCGGTAATTTTGTTTTTTTTAACAAAAGCATTTCTTAGGATCTTGACGGCATGTCGTGCAAACGTCTGCATCGAATTTCGCTAAAACCGACTGAACAGTGCAAGCTGTATTTTCACAACTCATCAAAATGAAAGTAGAAAGCTTTGAAATAAAGACTATTCAATAACACGGTATTTGAAATGCAATTACAGCTTCAATAGCCCAAGGGGGGAAAAGACCCCTCCAGCCACTCCGTGGAGTAAAGTACACTTCACCACAACGGTCCGGGGGAGTGTGTGTTTTTCTTTTAGAATAAAGTAGTGATATTTCTCTCAATGAACACGCTCGATCGATTTAAGATTCCCCCGCCCCTTCCCTCAGAAATGTGATGTTTTGCGGATCTTGAGCAAGTTCTCTACGAGCCTCGAAAAACCAGGTCTGCATCTTATAATTTTTCATGGATACTTATGCAATTAAAATTTTTCTCAATACACATATTTGTAGAACAAACTTTTCTGATCAAAATAAGACGTCTCACAGCTCTGTATGATCTTGAATTAAAAAGTTACGGACATTTTCCTACAAGTCCTGAAATTGAGTCTTTTATACGGCGTTTAAAAGAGGCCCCATCGAGAATTGTAGTGGAACAGTCGAAATTAACATATATGTTGTTTCATATTTTGGGATTCTACGATCAAAAGTGGGGTTATGGAAAAATTCTTAGCTCGTCTGAACTTATTTTGACTGAGTTCTGAATTTTTTAAGTAAAGGGGGCCTAGGATTTCTAAAAAATTAGGTGTCGCCAGCATTTTGCCTGTAACTCAGTCAAATTTCATCCGTTCTGTTCGAGCAGCATCTCACTCATTGGTCTGGTAAAAACTGAAGAAAATGGCTGGTTCATTTAATTTTGTTGCATAACTGACTTTTCCTAGAAAAAAGTCGGATTTTCTGAAATTTTCCAGTTTTCAAAACACAGCTAATTTTGCTCAGCAATTTTGAACCCGAAAAAGGTTCCTGATCAGATTCTCTTATCGTGCATTTTATAGAGCGTCTGATCCTCTACAAACTACAGTAAATAATTTGTAAAAAACCTTTCAGAACATGGCGAAATTTGGGAAGCCAAGACTTACGCTCCAGTCTTATCACATATACTAATGCGTATAAAATCATATTTTTTCGTCTCAAACACTTCCTAAATAAAATTTTCTTTTCTAAAAATTCGTGATCACTGACCGGAAACGAGTGGAATATAAAGTTTACGATAATCGGAAGTTTACTCAAAGTTTAAATGAAAGAGTTGGTTTCCCAAATTTCACCATGTTCTGAAACTATTTTTACAAATTATTTAGTGTAGTTTGTTGAGGATCGGACGCTCTATAAAATGCACGATAAGAGAATCTGATCAGCGGCTTCTCCACGTAACTCGAGACTTCGCTAATCAAGTTTTTGAAAAAACTATTTTAGTAGGATTGAGAGGAGCATATTACTAGATGCAGTTGTTGGCGCTAATTACGAATCTCACATTAGTTTTTGAAAAAAGTTAAATTTTAGCATCAAAACTCCAGTTTTACATTTTTTGAAAACTGTATTTTCAATTTCCTCACCTAGACACTTTTTCTAATAAAAATGGAAGGCCATACTAATTGCCAGAGAATTCGATTTTCTACAGGATGGTATGTTTCTTTTGAAATTTGGACTCAAAAAAAGCTTTTTAATAAAGTTTTAAGTTTTAGGATTCTCACACAATTCTAAGAAAGTGAAAACATTTTTTCAGCTTTATTTACACCTTAGTCTATATCAGATGCCTAAAACTAAGTCTGATGTGAAAATGAAATCCTTTGAGCAATGTTTAGTGCTCCAAACTTTGTTGGGAAAAAAGTGTGTCGCAGCGTCACGGCGATAAACACAATTATTGAGGGATGAAGAGCTCATTGGTAAGATTCTTTTTTAGCAATCAGTAGCTCGTTTACTCCTCTACAAACTTTGCTCGAGGCGCTTTTTATTAGCTCTTCTATCCTATGATCTATGAGTGAGATGCTGCTCGAACAGAACGGATGAAATTTGACTAAGTTACAGGCAAAATGCTGGCGACACCTAATTTTTTAGAAATCCTAGGCCCCCGTTACTTAAAAAATTCAGAACTCAGTCAAAATAAGTTCAGACGAGCTAAGAATTTTTCCATAACCCCACTTTTGATCGTAGAACCCCAAAATATGAAAAAACATATATGTTAATTTCGACCGTTCCATTGAACTCGGAAGCAATGCTCGACTCAGTCGCGAAGTCTCTCTGAAATACTGAAATTAATAAAATCCGTTAGGCCCTCCATACTATAAAAATTGAAAACTTAATCGTGTTACAGGCCTGTTGAGTAAAAAGATAGAGAAAGACACCCTTGTTAATTCAGAAGCCTCTGATTTAGCTTTAAGGTGAATCAAATTTCTTAAGTTTCCTTAAGCCCACGGCACTCCGAATCACTCCGGACATTCCGAGCACTTCGGCATTCCATGAAGTGGCGGAGTGCGCTTTTCCCCTCTTGGATTAGCCTCACAACCGAAACATTCTCTAGCAAACGAAGCTTTGAATAACTTGAAAAACTTCGAAACAAGGTTGGTTTATATTACTACTGTTAGAATATACTAATACCTGCTTTAACGTTCTTTCCTAAAGGCCAATGGAATTCTACTACAAGTATGGCAACAACACGTTATTATCATACTCAAACTCTGCTTAAGTCGGGTAAAGTTCTTGTCACGGGTGGTTACTTATCATCGTCCAGTGCTCTTGCTAGTTCAGAAATATATGATCCATCAAAAGACGAATGGACCTCTACTACACGCATGGCAACGGCACGTTATGGTCATACGGCAACTCTGCTCAATTCGGGCAAAGTTCTTGTCACGGGTGGTTACAAATCGTTGTCCAGTGCTCTTGCTAGTTCGGAAATATATGATCCATCAGAGGACCAATGGAACTCTGCTGCAAGCATGGTAACACCACGTCATTTTCATACGGCAACCCTGCTCAATTCGGGCAAAGTTCTTGTCACTGGTGGTTACAAATCGTCGCCCAGTGATCTTGCTAGTTCCGAAATATATGATCCATCACAGGATCAATGGAACCCTTCTGCAAACATGGCAGTACCACGTTACTTACATACTGGGACTCTGCTCAGTTCAGGCAAAGTTCTTATCACTGGTGGTTATACATCGTCGCCTGGTGGTTACTTATCAGCGTCCAGGGCTCTTGCTAGTTCAGGAATATATGATCCATCACAAGACAAACTGGCCTCTACTACAAGCATGGCAATGGCACGTTATGCTCATACAATAACTCTGCTCAATTCGGGCAAAGTTCTTGTCACGGGCGGTTACTCATCATCGTCCGGTGCTCTTGCTAGTTCAGAAATATATGATCCATCAAAAAACGAATGGACCTCTACTACAAGCATGGCAATGGCACGTTATGCTCATAGAGCAACTCTGCTCAATTCGGGCAAAGTTCTTGTCACGGGCGGTTACTCATCATCGTCCAGTGCTCTTGCTAGTTCAGAAATATATGATCCATCAAAAGACGAATGGACCTCTACTACAAGCATGGCAACGGCACGTTATGGTCATACGGCAACTCTGCTCAATTCGGGCAAAGTACTTGTCACGGGTGGTTATAAATCGTTGTCCGGTGCTCTTGCTAGTTCAGAAGTATACGATCCGTGAATCTTCTATTGTTTCTCTTCGTATAGAGGTTGTGCCTTCTGATTCTTCTCGCTGCCGTTGTTGGTAAATATTCACAAAGTTGTTTTCATGAGTTTCTACTGTTTTCGCTTACTTTTGTTTAAAATAAATTTTGAGAAAATACCACTCAGACACTAAATCAGTTCATGTCTAGTTCCAAGCTGATTTTTCAGATATGGTCTGTTGTGATAACGGCATTAAGTTAGTCATCTTCCGAACATGAATAATTTTAATCATCATTAAAGAGTTATTCGTGATTAAGGATGCACCTAGTTACAAAATTCTAAGCTCGAATTTTAGCCTCATTAGACAGAGTACATAAAATTACATATGTACACCTATTTTTGGACATATCGTCTATTTTCTTAAACACTTCATACAACAATAGAAATGTAAACTCATACTTTTATCTTAGAATAGCTTCTGAGAAAACTTCTGAAATTTCGCAAGTTACAACACAGGTTTTACCTTCTATTTATGATGGCACCAAAAAGCACAAGTTCTATGGACAAGAAAATTCCCTCTCTAAAAGATGTCGTTTTAGGTTAATTTCACCATGTTTTACCCGGCTTTCTCTTCGGGAACATGATGCGATTCATTTCAGGTTCAACTTGAGATCGAGCTCAAACGAAGTACACATACCTCAAATTTATTGACGTCTCTTCAACTGCCGTGTACTTGAACTGGTGATAACGTTGTAACAACCCCAGGCTCGTTTTCCACTAACATCAAAAACATATTGGAGAGATGTGAGAAACTGCGCCGAAGTACGTGCAGTTGATAATGCTTTATAAAACATGAGTCAACAACTAACATCAAAATCCTTGTATTCTTTGGTTTTAAGTGTTCAAACTTTGACTAAATGGAAATGTGCGCTAACTGCCAGCATGTATCCGTTTCAGTTATTACACGGTCAAAAGAAAATCAATTTGCCTAGCAAAAAGGAACGAAATATAAGCAATTGATCGTTGATCTATAGATGCAATCTTTTCAAATGAGGGATCTTTAACGATTTGCATTTCTGTAGTGCGCGGTAGGCGAACTATTGTATTATTACTAACAAGAAAAGATAACGCAGTGCAATAGTATTAAAAAGCTATGTAATAGCTGAATATATCTGTACTTTTTATGCTGCATATGTCGTACCTATCCATAATTTTTATATTAGATCGGATTTATGTGCTACTCATTACTATGATGAAGAATGCTTAATAGAAATAGCTAAAATATAACAGAACTGAAGAATGTATTAAATCTTGGTGAACTGTTACGTAAAAACACAAATAGTGTTGGGTGAAACAAAAATTAATTCATCAGTCATCGATTGTTCACATGGATAAGCTTTAACTGCATATTTCCATTCGTTTTCGTGCAATTAGTTCAATTAAACAAAAATCACTATTTTTGAAAAGTCGAATACAAATCCGCTCTCAGACGGACAGTATGATAAGAATTTTAAAACAGTTAATTTTTAGTGATTTTCTCTTTTAAAATGTTTTTTGCTAAAACACTGTTATTATTTAGTTTTCTTGTTGTTGAGACTAATAGTCGACCCACACCTGAAGATCGTCTTCTAATTAACGCGTTTACCTACGAATCTGGTCTCACCTCAAGCAAACACGCTCAACTATTGGATTAGTACTATTCAGGATCTAACCAGCTATCCCACGAGATGTTTGAGAGTTTGAGTACGATGATGATTAGAAAAGACAGCGGTACAAGCAATATTTGTTAATTCTTAAAAAAAGTTTTTCTTCTAGTATTTCACTTCTACAACATAAATAATTACACTTTAAGTTCTAGAAAATGAAATTTTAGTTGAAAATATCGAATGTACTATTTCTGATGAGGTCATCGAGTAAAAACTCGAGTTTTGGCCTAAAACACTAGGTTTTAGGCCCTTTCTACCAGTATATCCTGCTGACATTCGTCGTCGTTTAGTGAAACAAGTGGTTGTAAATTTGTCTCTATGAAGAAACGATGCAGTAAAAAACGCTCTACAAGATGACTATTGATTGATCCTGCTGGCTCATCTAGCAAGAAAGTTATAGGCTTAGAAATGTGCTTCACAAAAAGAAAAATCAACCGTGAACCCGGTTCATATGGTGGTGCTTTCAGTAAAAGTCCCATAACTTCATCAAAACAAAACGTTTTTCAATCGGGTTTATTTTGCTTTGATCAGAAATGATTTCTCTTCTCTGCCTAGTTGCAGCATCAAAACTTCGATCACGTTTTCCGTTTCTTGCTGCGTACACTGTTGGAAACGGAATTGTCGATTTTTGACATATTTTTGAAACTTGATTCTCGAGCACACCATCTACTCTAAAAAGTCTTTTTACAAATCACAAGAAAGAGCACATTTGAAAGTACACAAATACAAATTGTGTTATCGCTTTTGCTCCGCTTTTTTTACGGAAATGACAGAAGAAGAAGAAGGTTAAGTAAAACAAACCAAATTTACAAAGTTTTTATTTTTTTCGCATCACGTACAATTTGCTTAGTTTTCTTGATTGAAGTTCTGAAATTAAAGTTTAGGTACGGATTGTGTAGAGAATTTCACGACACTTCTATCAAAAAAAAGAACTTATTCTAGAGGACCTAAGGAACAGGAGTTAAAGCAAAAATACCAAGACCGGATTCACAGTTGATTTTTCTTTTTTGTGAAGCACATTTCTAAGCCTATAACTTTCTTACTAGATGAGCTAACGGGGTCAATCAATAGTCATCTTGTAGAGCGTTTTTGACTGCATCTTTTCTTCATGGAGACAAATTTACAACTACTTGTTTCACTATAGAAAAATTTATCATTCAAATCGGGTCAGGACTTCTGGACGACCCTTTATAGCAACTTGGATATATTGATACTTGAGAAAAATATAATTTATTATTTACTTTTAAGTTTTTTTACATAAAACCATAAAACAACTTTTAATTATGACATAAAAAAATTTCGTTATTTTAAGGCTTTTACTTTTTTTGTCGTAGTCAGCATGATTGAGTTTACTAATCGACGCATACTCATGGTTGTTGAATTTTATCAAAACTTTTAATTATTTCAGCCTTTTGTTGTTTGTTTCTACTTCTACGGTCCTACAAAGTATTTGCCGGTGTGTTTAATGGTAAAAGCCTGTTAGAGCTTCCCTAACTGATTGACGTCAAAAAAATAAGCCATTTTCGGTGAAAGGAACGTTATTCATTTTTGATAAATATTATGAAGTCTTTTTAATTGTTCATGCCAAGTAGATCTCACAAACAATGCATTTGGGAAAGATTCTGTTCATGAAAAGTTGTTCACAGTACTTGTCTCAACTAGATAAGATATTTCCGCGCTGTACTTCACCCTTCTTGTTCCAGGTGCATTATATTTGTCAAGTAAAAAGTTCTAAATCTTTTAGATTAGATGAATTTATCTAACTGTATGATATACATAAACTGATTCTTCTGCGAAATATCGTCTCGGGAAATGCTCCGCAACACTTGATTGCTCATCTTCAACGTAGAACTCCCGATTGGTACACTTTATAATGCATAAAGTTTCCAGCTTAGTCAGGAAGTCTTTCCGACTGTTGTCAGTTCTGATGTCGTCATTTTCCGTGCTTCTCATTACCATGGCTATGGACTGTTCTCAATACCACATATTCTGTACGAGAGTGTATGCAGAGGGAAAGCCTGAACTGTAGTAGTCTGATCACCAGACATGCAAAGAAATAAAGAATAAACACATACCGCTTTACTTTGGACTTGTATTTCGTTCTCGTGTCACACACTTTGTTCAGAATTGGTAGATGAAGGAAAAAATTTTCTTTTGGATCAATGCTCAGATCGCATTGGGCCATGGCGCAATGGCCCTCTGCGAAGTTACGCCTATGGATATAGGGTAGACATCTTTTTGTGATTCTCAAAAGATGTGCCGTGAAATTCTCTACAAAGAACATATTAAACAGTTTTCTATATACCGTAAAGATAAAAGAATATAGAAGAAATACTGCGAAGTTTCAATCTCGATTACTTTGCAACGCAAGAAACAATGAAAAAAAAAATTTTTAAGGACGGTGTCATGCATAAAGGTGAAATCAGAACGTCAGTTCTGATGCTCTGAAGTGTCGTCTTTTTTTCGTCTATCATAGGTTCGGTTTAAACGTATTTTTCTGGCACAAAAGACAATTGTACGAAAATTTAATAAAAAGAACAGAAATTTTGTCTTTTTAGCCATGACACAGGAAGCGAAAAGAAAATCGTAAATCCTAAAGAGAATTTCAATAAATCTATGTACCAAAATTAATTTCACGTATACGTATACATACATCAAAAGAAACCGATAATATATCGAAATATCATTAAAATAAATCCGTTGTGTCGCGGCAGAGGGGCAGAGAGAACGGCAAGAATTTTGAAATGCTCCCTAAGGACGAATAAAAGACAACTCTATTCTCAAAAATTCCAACTCCATCTCCAACTCTTCTGAAACCAACTCCAGTTAAAAATCGGTCAACTCCGGGGTTGAAGTAGCCCAGCCCTGTTCTAACATGTCCAAGGGTTTATCATTATGAGAATCTCTTATACCTGGCAAGCTGAAAACAGGAGATACTCCTTCATATCAAACCACATCACTCTGTCTTTTTATTAACACAATATAGAGGTTCAATTAACAAAACGTAGAGACTCGAAATGTGTAGTAATACGTTTTTTTAGGCAGAATAAGAATAAACGACTGCTCGTCCCAACAGCTGTAGTATGGCTATTTCACATAAATTCGCCCAACACAATTTATTTAACAATGATGACAACTGCGAATATATAATACTGCATACAATTTCCGCTTTTTTACTTAACCTTAAACCATCATGTCGCCTATATACAGATTCAAACAGAATCAGTTACATTCTCATAAATATTTGTGCGTTCAGTGAGCTATGAAAAAGTAAAATATTCCGCAACTCGTCCATTCTACTTAGTCCGATACATGTTCATTTCTTAGGGCATCGATATTGCTTTTACACACTTGATAGATGGAAGTTATTTTTATTTCATAGAATAAACAGTTAAAAATGGTTCACCAGGGCTCACATTCTTTCAGTTCTATTTTGACAGCTATTCCATCATCACCTCTTTTCTCTTTCTTGACATTCATCACTTTGAATGCAGCATATGGAATAATCAGAACTTCTTTTTCTCCTGGATATTCGGATATTGATTCTATATCGAGTCCTGTGCCAGGATTACGTAGGTGATAAGTACACACGACGCCATATTTACCGGTTCGGTTTTCATTTGCATAAATTCCAAATGCAAATACTTCAGCCATTTCACGATCTTTCGATGTTGACAAAAACGTTTTTGTCATTATTCGTGAACCGATAACGTATTGTTGAAGGTCATACTCGTCCAGTTTCATCCCACGATAGGATTCTCCAGTGAAGTTAAAACGTGCAAAGTAGGGATGATGAGTAATGATACCAAGGATGTACGCTCGTCCTCGATTGCTATCGATGGGTCCGGTCCCCTCGAGTTGGGCAGCTGCCAAATGTCGATTCAATGCCGTATAGAAACCAGTTTCAGCTGTGTAGGCTTTCAAGAGATAAACAGGATTTTGCTCTTCTTCAGCTTTGTCGAAAAAATATCGTATTTGATCAATACCTTGAATATCTTTCAACTCCTCGTCAATATAATATTGTCGTGCAAAATTGACTAAAAAGTGAAATTTCGGATTCGTTCCATACTTGATTAGCAGATTTCGCTGTTTAGTCGCTTCGAAATCAGCATGTGGATTTGCATCAATCCAGCGAATTTTGCTTACAAAACGATTTTCGCCATCGAATTCACTATTGGTTTCGTCGGATGGAAGTTCCTGAGTGAAACGTTCGAAAAGATGCTTTATATCAGTGTTGGGCGCAATACTGTATGCCGTTTGTTCATTTTGATTTTGAATACTACGTGAAATGCCCACGTTTAGTAATAGTTCAATGATTTCTTTATGTTCATTTTGGGTGGCTATATGTAAAGCTGTATTTCCATTGGGCTCAACGTGATTTATCTGAGCGATGGTCATGTTTGGTAGTAATTCCTTCACCAGTTTAATGTCATTGTCGCGACAAGCATTATAAAACACACTAGTATTCTCTACTGAGATCTCTGCTGCTGAAGAAATCACGTCTGAAATCATGTTGTGTCGCGCTTCGCTTCTCTGACTACTTGGAAGCGGAGACTTTGGACTGCAAACCGGAGACTTTGGTGCTCCTAAAGAAAAGGCATTACAGCACTCTAATCAATGTGGTACTTGGCACAATGCTTACCTTGTTCATCCCTGAGAAATACTGTTGGAATTATCAACTTTTTGTGTGACATTTGTTCAGGTAAGTACCCGTCTTAATTAAATTTATGTTCTAAAACGAAATACCGCAATTTTAAGCTGTTTTTTTTATAGTTTTCGGTTCCATAATCAGCGTAAACTGAGAACATTTTAAATTATGAGAGACGTTTTATGGATTCTGACCAGTTCACATCTTTTACGAAATAGAAAAGAATTTTTTAAAAATGTGGCCCACAGGAAAATTTCTCACATTAAAAACAACAAACTGTGCTTAAAAATAACAAACTGCTTTCAAATACGACAAATCATTGAGTACTGAGTTTATGAACTTAAGAATAATACCTTGTATAAATATACCGATATGTCTATTCTCTTTTTTCTCTTGAATAAATATTGAATTGGTGACATATAGGTAAACGATTGTTTCTTTCTACTGATTTAGTATTTTTTTCCAATAAAAAGAAAACTTTTCTTTTAAAAGCACGCCTCCTTCGATTCGTTCTTATGTTGCATTCACCCTTTACACATGATCAACCATTTTTTGAACAATTTTTTGGAGAATCTTGATTTCATGTAATAATTCCAACAGTATTTCTCAGGAATGAACAAGGTAAGCATTGTGCCAAGTACCGCATTGGTTAGAGTGCTGTAATGCCTTTTCTTTAGGAGCACCAAAGTCACCGGTTCGCAGTGCAAAGTCTCCGCTCCAAAGTAGTCAGAGAAGCGAAGCGCGACACAACATGATTCCAGACGAGATTTCTTCAGCAGCAGAGGTCTCCGTAGAGAATACTAGTGTGTTTTATAATGCTTGTCGCGACAATGACATTAAACTGGTGAAGAAATTACTACCAAACATGACCATCGCTCAGATAAATCACATTGAGCCCATACCCCGTCCTTTGAACTCTAGAGATCATCCAGAGAAAGTCAAGAAGACAGAATAGTAAATAAAACTTAGCAAGTGGGACCTGGTTGTTGTTTTTTTCGCGTTGATAGTTTGTATTAACAACTAACGTTCATATTAGATTGAATCAAAATTCAATTAGTCAGACTGAAATTAAAAGTATTGTATCCATAATTATTATTTCATTGACCGCTCTTTAAATAGTGTCAGTGTATATTCGAATAAAAAAAGTGTAATAGTTTTTTTTGATTGCTCGTTCATTAGAGCAAATGTTTAATAAGAATAATATTGAGAAATAAATTCTTATCCGCTTTCTGTTGAATTAGGAAGTCGGAGTGATCGTAAATAACTAAATAATACGCTTTCAATCGCCTCTTTCTGAGAGACGCCGTCAGAAAGATTTTCAGAAATGCTTGCCTTGAGCAAACTTTGAACAGGAACCTATTCTGCAGTATGTAGCTAAATTAGAAATGACTGAAAACAGCGAAATTCGATTTGTCAAAGAACTGAAAGAAACCGATAAACCGATACGATAAAGTTGAATACTTTGACGAAAACTGGAATAGAACGATCAGTTCGATATCTGTTTCTCAGGTCTTTCAATATGTGTAAATATATTCTACTATGTTCTAATATTCTACTTGCTCTATAATCTATTCTATTCGCTTAATGTAGCGTTAAAATTTCACAGGAAAACGCTATTTTTTGCAGAATATATACCTATGTTTCTTGACGTTTATTTTCTATTGATTGGAAGACTATGGTCTTACTAAATACAAATTCGTGTCTGTTTGTTTGTTAACATCACCTAACAAATGACGGAATTCTAGTCACTTGAAACAGAATCTGTCATAATTTCAGCTTGTAATTGAATTTATCACTGAAAGGATACCAAGTGTGGAATCGCTTTTTTTCAAAATCTAGTGCACAATGGGTAATCAACCATGCTGGATCCGAATATGACAATCATTATGGCCGATAGGTGTCCACAGACCAAATTTCTGGAAAACCAGTTTTTCAGAAACTCCAAAAAATAACCAAAATCATTCTCGGTGAGGCATAATTGTAACCCGTAGATTTCTGATTAAAATGAGACATCTCCGAGCTCTATACAATCTTTCTTTGCAAAGCTATATAATTCTAAAGAAAAGTCCTAAATTAATTTCTTCTTATTTCTGTAGCTTTGAGCTGACAATGAACATTTAGGGCTTTTCTTGTAAATTCTATAACTTTGCAAAGAAAGACCGTGTAGAACTGAGAGAGATCTTATTTTAACCGGAAATCTGCGGGCTACAATTCTGCCTCATTAAGAAAGGTTTTTATTCTTTTTTAAAGTTTCTGGAAAACTGGTTTTCCAGAAACCCGATCTGCGGAGGCCTATCGGCCAAAATGATTGTCATATTGGGAATCAGCATGGTCGATTAATTATTGTCCATTAGATTTCGGAAAAAAAGTGATTTCACACTTGGTGTCCTTTTGTAGTGAGTGCCACACATGTAAAAGAAATGGCGCTCATTTGTTGTCGGTTGTATGAGTCATCAGTTGTCAGGCCACACATTACAGAAATCACGGGAAAAAAAGAAAAACTTTATAATATTTATTAATCTTTTGGCAAATGGTACAAAAAATTCCGAAAAAAGTCACTTTTACAATGTTTTTTAGTTCTGAGAATACGAGTGTATATCTCTTGTAGAACGTGTTTTAGATTATCAAAGGACGATTTTTAGAGCCTACTATTTGAAATCTGTACAACGAACATTCGAGGACACAATTGTTTCATCAGCTAAAAGAATAATTTTATCATTGTATGTAAATATTATTTGTTCTTCTTTATTTGGATTTATAACAATACCGTAAAGTTTTGTTGAATCCCGGGCATATTTCATTAATCTATAACCAATAGCCATACACTGAAATTTTAATGTAGATTGTAAAACTTGACAATAGCTTACTGGTATATTTAGTGGAACAAACAGGGATGCTTGACGTAGAAGAATATCAGGACCTACAGATGTTAATAAAACATCGTATACTTTTTTTATGTTTTTATTTTCAGATAATTGTGTAATATATTTTGATATTAAATATGGACTAATTATAAAATCATCTGCACATGCCATATTAGCCAATTCAGTATTACGTATATTATACATTTCTGTTACAATATTAAATGTTTTTTCCCAGTTTGATTTATCAATTATATCTCGTATATATAACAAACAAATAACACATTCAGCATCTGCTTCTTCAATTAAATTTTTTTCTCGACCATCTTCACTAGGTACTAGCATAACATAATTAAACGTTGATAAATTTAGTTTTTCCAAATCATGACGATGTGTCATATGACCTGGATGAAAAAAAAGTTTTTGTTGTTTTAATTCATTGACTAATTGATTAGTTGCGAATTGTTTTGCTTCATCAGAATTTGTTAATATATGAAGTTCACTACCATGAGAAACATAAGTATCCAATTCTTTAGATATTAATGGGACTTTGTTATTCCAGCCACATATAATATTTCGTTCTACTTTTGTTGATGTAGGTGTTGATAATGGAATTGTATTTGGATTTATTTCTGAAAATAATATTGGGGGAGCATCTTTATGCTTGAGTGCTAAATAATTAGATGATAATGTAATTTTATTATCATCTTCAGCTATAACTATTATTTGATCCTTCGTATTGATTATTGTATCCAATGGTGGCAACATTTTAACTGTTCCATCGGGTAGCATCAATCCAATTGCCGAACATTTATTGTATGCAAATAGAGCATCATGAAATGTTCTACCAACAAGCGCTTTCTCATGTTTGAAATAAATTTCATCGCCTCGAAATGATAATAGGTTCGATAATATCACAGCCAAACCACTTTGTCGACCTGATTGAGCCATAATACGTGCAATGATTTCATCAGCATGGACAAACATAACTTCGTCTCCACCTTAAAAGTACTATATTTTTATCACAAAGCATACAAACAAAAATAGATGCATCTGCTTTCAATAAGAACCCAAAAGTCGCTAAGCGAGCAAGCCCAGTAGTGTACGAACTCTCATCCATCACTCAGAAATAAAGTGGTGGACCAAACTTTAAGGCACCCTTTGTTTTTCACTTTTCTCTGTGAAAGGCTGCTCGATAACGACGTCCATATGTCCAAATTTCGATAATTCTTAGAACCGACTACAAAGCTGAGATACAATCGATCTTTTAAGTACAGTTACTTGAGTTTTTATTATCTAAATCTTTTTACTTCAGCAGACAAACGTTTAAGGCACTTTTAATATTTCACTAACTATTCGCTATTAAAAAAATAACTGGAACCTCTTCTATATACCATTCGGAACAGAACAGAACGGACTACATTTTGATAAAAAGCATTTTTGAAAAACCACTACTATGCGCACCAGAAGTCAACACACACGGATGTTTTTTGCATAACTTTCGATAGGAACAAGATAGAGGCCTACGGTTTTCAATGTTCGATAGCCAATACATTAAGACGTGTTCTCACTAGCAAAAATTTATTTCAGAAAAATTTCGCAGATTTCTAAAAACTGACATAATGATCCATTGAGTTTTTTCGTAGACACATAGTTTAAAGTGTCCTTCACGAAATTAAATCTAAGCAAAAGTTTCACTTTGCAAGTCTGGCGTATTTCCAGAAGCACTAGGACTCCTGTATGTTTAAGTGTAGAAGTATTGCAAACATATGACAGGATTGGTAATCGACCACGGGCTCGTGGCAGTATTTGTTTTTCAAAAGACTTCTA